ATCAGACCTCATATCCAGGAGACGCTGAACACAAAGCATGTTGTCTCCCTCGACTACGGCCTCCAGCGGGTTTCGACCCAGGTGACGAAGAGGCCTTGCACCTGAGGGTTCTCCAGTGTAAGTGATACAGCCCGAAGACGGCTGCATTTTCTGTCCGGATGCCGGCGTCTTTACCGAAGCAGTCATGTCAATGATTGCGGCAGGTGGTGGTTTCAGCTGGGAGTCCTTACTTAAAGCAGAACAAACGGATGGAGCTTGCTTCTGCAAATTGTCGGGGGATTGAAAGGCGGAAGTTTGAAAAGGTGCCCGCAAAGCAAGCAAGTCGTTAGTGCAGGGGCATGATCTGATACCGAGATACGTTAGCCTCGGAGAAATGCTGATTTCTCGCCGAAGTCGGAAACGACACCCAGGGGACTAGAAATACGCCCTGGTCCAAATAATTCAAAGACCTCGCTTATACTCGCTTAGCAACTTTTCCTAAGTTATGTTGAACTCTCCTGCACAAGAGTTTCGACCCGGCATCATACTTGCATATGGGATTCCTTCATCAGGGCACGGCATATCCAGGATCGGCAGTTTCCAACAGCTAGGGCCGCGAAGGGCTCTGATTTCTGACAGGCCTGTAATGACGATGGTATTGGCAGCTGTGTTCCGGTGCAGCAACACGAAAGGGCGAACAGCAGCCTCTCCAAAGATCCACGTAGAGCGAGGACACACGCAGCCCGACCGTTCGCAGAAGAGCAGTTCCCACTGTTCCGTAGGAATGAGTTCCATACTCATCGTTGGACGTGAAGGGCGAGTTTTGCTGGCCCGTCTCTGAACACTCCCTCCCCAAGCCCCGTCGGAATCTGAGCGTTTTCGGAGGCTGGAACACCTAGAGCAAACCGTGACGGAGCGGAGTGAGCCTTGCCGGTTTGCCGGTTGTCATGCATATGCCGGGGATTGATGGTCGGTTTTGAAGGAACTCAGTGTTGCTTTCGAGATTGAAAGATGACGGTCGCCTTGCTGTTTTGATCCACGTCGATACGCAGACAATCTCATTGTCCCGAGCGTCGGAGAAATAGGCGAAGGTTCACATCACGTCTAGCAGCTAGCAGCAGTATGCAACAGACGGTAATGCCACTCGGGCGGCATCGCTGCTGGGAATGCCATGGCCATCGCGTATGTAACGAAATTCTTCGACAGCACTAGCCACTGCCTGAGGATGCCATCGCACACAGTGTGGACAAGCTCACAACTGCCGTGGCAGAGCTCACGGACACACTGAAGGGATGGCGTCAGGACCCAAAATAGTTACTATCATTGCATTTGCATTCGGCTCTTGCGACGGTATGCAAAGGCATACACCAAGCGATCTCGAATACACTACTAGTAGTCAGATCATGAAGTCAGAACGGCTGAGTGCTGAGGGTCTTGGATGTGCTGGTTCCCTTGGCTCTGGTGTAAGCTGCTGCGTGTGATCTGTCAGACGTAGGCTCCAACTTTCCTGTCGAATTCGGTTGCAATCGCCACAGTGTCGTCTGAAACCCCGAAACAGCCAAGCACAGATAAGTTGAGAAAAGTGTGGTATCGGTGGACACGACCACGGCTACGATCTTGCCTGGCTTGTGTCGCTCGGCAAATCTTGGTGCACACTTCGAACTAGGGACGGTGTGTTGGATGCCGGGTCAAGCCAAAGAACCCGTCCTTGCAACAATAGGCAACATCGCTGTGCCACGGAGTCACGTGAATGGATGGTTTGGGCGTTTCAAGTCGGAATAACCGCATCGCAATCGTGACTCTGTCAATCTTTGCCCCAAAATCGCTTGAAATCCTGGCCTTGGTCCTTGTTGGAGTTTGTGCAGCCGCCAGGATGCTTCAACAGCATCGAGGGACAGCAAGCGCTGGCTTGGCATGGGGCCAGCTGCGTGACAGAGGCTGGATTGCTTTGCCATTTCAGCGTTGGGTGCTCGCAGCCTTTTTGTTTACGGTCTGACCTGGTTTGTGAACTCTTCTGGATCCATGCCGCGTCCATGCTTGTAACTAGCGACTTCTGTGAAAGCCTTCATGCTCGAGAAAGTGCTTGCTGGCCGTTGAAGGCCCAGCGCCGAACGAGGGCCAGCTGAGAGCAGAAAGCAACCTGCATTCACTCAGACCATGAAGGTCCGCACCTCCACGGCTGTTGCTGTCAAGCGGCTTTCTCGGAATGAGGAGTCTAGCTCTGCTGTACAGAGATCAGCTACTTGTAACAGGGCTTCAAACTTTAGGCTTTCATCGATTTGCGCCCTGGTTCTGCGGACCTTGCCAATGCACGAAAGCGTACGCCTCGTACTGCACACAGGTCCCGCGTGCCGTAGATATGTCTCTCAGCAGGGCCCTGCACGCCAAACACAGGGACCACAAGCTAAACTGTTGTGATGAGATGTGACTGTTGTCGACAGTCGAGGCTTTGGAGATCAGGTGTCTTTTCGTTTGGTGCAGTGCAGGAGAAAAGCCCTAGCGAGACATACATACATCGACTGAGTTTTGATAAACATATTCTGGGTCCTCCCGTAAATTTGAATCGCTTTCTGGTTACACAGCCCACCTGAAGGACGGGCAAAAAATAAAGAACAGGGAGGATCCAATTTCTTGCCCCGGGGTGGTGAAAGTGCCCCCCTGCCGGATCTGTTGCACGACGACTGGGCAATGATGTAGAATCAATGCAGAAGGCAAAGTTTGAAGAGACATCTTGTGTTGAAGATGGTAAGCTTGAGCGATGCAAGTCCTCAACGCGGGAACGTGGGTGACGGTCTGAGTCTTAGTTGATTGTATAGCCGGAAAAGCAGACGGAGACTTGAAGACTCTCCGGGCATCCGACTGCAGCCCGGAAGTCGCTGCAGAAGCAATACCAAGTGCAAGGCGTGGAGGCTCGAGTTCAAGACTCGGTTTCCCACCCTCACGAGCTGCGCAACTGGCACTGTGGGGCGCTGCAACTCAATCCTAATGGTTGTCTCGACAACATCAAGAACGTCAACACAGGTTCGGGCTTATTTCGCGAGACAACGCCATTCGGGTGTGGACAGTAAACGTCTCTCCAGAGAAGTTCTGGCTGATCTGTGAAATCGCGCAGGGCAGAACGGCATCCTCTGCCTGCCGCACGATTTCTGTTTACAGAACCTTGGAGGAGCCTCGAAGATCACTGATCTCAAGCCAAAGCATATAATTGAGTTCTGAAAGGTGGCACGAACCCGAGTAGTTCAGGTGATGCTGACGAATTCTACGTAAGAGGCAGCCTACAGTCGCCCTTTAGCAGAGCAATTTCGTCGACTCTCCGTAGCCGGCCAAGAGTGCCGCCTTCGTCGACCGAGCAAGGCTTTGTGACAGGGGCCTTCCGAGTAATGTATTTGACAGGCCATTGAGACAAGAGTGAACCCTCTTTCCGAACCTTGCTTGGTCCCGATCTCCTCAACAGCCAGGAAGTACCGCATACATTGCATTAATACTATCACCACCACCAACTACTACGCAATTACGACGTATAACACATACCATGTGCTTGGTACACCGTACTGTGTACTGCATACTACTAGTGTACTAGTACTAGTAGTACTAGTACGACAAACACTATCGCTGCCGTTACCGCGACCACTGCTACTGCTAAGAGCTGCTAGCTACACTAGACACTAGCTACTAGCTTAGCTGCTAGCTACAAGCACCGCCACTACCACTACCACCACTGACTCTATCGCCACCACCACCACCACCACCACCACCACCAAGAAGGTGATTCCGACTGATACAACTCCTACGCCCACTGCTAAGAACGACGATAAGCCTCAAGTTGTACTGATATACTGACCAGACAAATAAGAACACACTGACAGCCTGCAATTGGTGCAAGACATGATCATTGCCGTCATGGGCATCCGGGGAATGACAGTCATAACGACAGTACGTGCCAATCACGATTCTTCTTTTCGGCTGCTGGGTTGAACAGAGCTTCCCTCCGACGGCAACTGTTCTGGCTGCGAGTTTACGACGGTAGTCACCAGAATGTAGAATTCGGAGGTTCAGTAAATTTAACGCCCCCACAGAGTCGTCCTAGCCCTTCCTTGGGATGCATCCATTTCCGACAGCTGGTTCACAGTCACATGTTTGTTTTTGGCGTACGCTGTCCGACTCTGGCAAGCAGCCGTCTTCAGTAGCCGGAGCCTCCAAATTGCAAGCAAGGTGCTGTACAGGCTCTTAGTGTGCCTGACTTCTTATATCAGGCTGGGCCTGCAGACTTGGGTTTGCAGATCCCCGATCCACTTCCTAGACAGTTTCACCCAGGGGTTGGCTGATCGCGTGGGTCGACAAATGCCACTGCACAAAGACTTCGCATTTCGAAGAGATCCGAGCTCGGTGTCTTTCATCTCGTTTGCAAACCAGGTGAAGGAATTTGGTGTGCCGGTTTAGCAACCGGCGTGTCACTCCTAGATTTTGCTGAATCTGCTGTACAGCTTTGCTTTGCTATCATGCCTTCCTTGTGGTGAACTGCATTGTGACCAGTCGCCCCGGCTTTCTACACATGCCTGCAACAGTGACTACTGTCATCATCGTCCGCGCTCTAACATGGTTGCTCTTGTTATCTCTTGTTGATGTTTCTTGTTCTTATTGTTGCATTGCCCCTATTATCTGCTCATGGTCACGGGCCGTCTAGTGATGGGGATCGCCCGCGATGCGACAAGGCCGTAGCCGGTTTGAGGCTTTCCCAGTACGCAACAGCACTATTCTTCGAGCACGGCACTCAACCGTGAACCGGAACGGGGCCGGCAAGTATAACATCCGAGGAGGAATGATGAATAATTGCAACAGGGCCGGCAAGCAAGTATAACATCCGAGGAGAGGAGGAATGACAAAAGCTTGATTGCCACAAGCATTCGTTTCGTGAGTGATTACTTCTGATCTCCTCGCTTGCAGCTTGCTTTCGGGTCGGACGGGGATGGATTGCTTGGCTAGGTTGTGTTTTGCACGCCGTCCCGACCCAACATGACCAGGATCAAGTCTCTCCATCTGCCAGAGCAGGTGCCGCAGGCCACCGGGCTGTTCAGCAATCCCAGTTTCCCAGCCCAAAGTCCCACAGCTTCGCGGTCGGTTCCAGTGATAATGTGCACTTGTTTGAAAAAGAACTTCACCACAACCACTATCGCAGACGGTGTGTGATACATACACACACGTACACCCGTGTACTGACACATATACATATACATATACATATATATATATATACACATATCGAGAGAGAGAGAGAGAAAGACAGGTGCACTACTTTCTCCTGCCCTCTGCCGAGGGGGACGATGACTGTCTACGCTCACTGTGTTAACTAGCTATAGTCTTTATGAGGAGAACAGGCAGCCATCTAAAGCGGGAGAAACAATGTCCTTGAGAGCATACATACTCCCTGGTCCGCTATCGCATACTATAAGATCATTATCTTTGGGAGTATTATGTTCGCTCTTCACACACCTACCCTGCATTAAAACAATGCGGGNNTGCGGGTGGGCCTGTGGCCCGGGGGTCTTGACCGACCCCCATGCCCGGGAGAGAAAGAGAGAGACAGGCGGGGGCGCACTTGCGCAGTGGGGAGGCAACTCCGCAGCCCTGGCGAAAGAAAAAACACAAATGAGAGAGGGAGAGAGAGACAGAGACAGCCGGTCTAGGCAGCCGGGGGGACTTGGCCCTTGTAATACCTTGCGTTTCTTAGGCCAGCTTTTTCTCTACCAACCTATCGGGGGACAAGTCACTATCCGGACAGCATGAAGAGACGTGGAGCGGCAAAACTACTCTGCTCTTTACCTTTCTTTTCTGTACTTGAGTAACAACCTGCGGTCCACGATTCATCATGTCAGCCCAAGCCGGGGGAAAAATGCCCCGTACGAACTTACTCTTTTAAGTGTCCAGTACTGTGCACAGATCTTGGGGGGACAGGACCTTTTCCACATGCTTACTTGCTTCATTGACGAGGAGTCTTACGTGTCATCATATCGTCCTGTTCCGTCCGAGAAAGCCTTATCACAGTCCCTTCAAAGCCCCATATAACACATGGGGGGCCCATGTGGCCGAGGGACCTAACCCGTCCCTTACGCCCAGTGGAAGAAGAAGACAGAAACAGGCCGGAAAGCCTCCTTACACCGCGAGATTCTGAGGGGAGCGACCCCTGCGACTTTGACGCCTGCAACTCGGACGCAGAGAGATGGCCCGCGTACAGAAGAGCGACCAAAGCAGCCTACAGGGAAAACATGCGTCAACAGCGACTGGAAGGCACGTGGACAAAAGACGACATCCGAAGGGGGAAACGCCCTTGAAGTCGAGGACTACCTCAACTGAGCTGAGAAGTTAAGCAAGCGAGGCCCTTTGTTTCATACTTTCTGCATGGGGGAAGCCCCATAGCCACCAAGCTGCAAGAAAACTTGTTTGCTTTTCGGCTTGTATGTTTCTTTCCACACTCCTCAACAACGACTTTTTGCCTAAGTTTGTAGCCAGTTTTGTACAGGGGGAAACCCCACAAGCCTTTTCTAGGGTGTACCATAGACCGGCCGCTGGAGCCATCCATACACCTACTTTCCAAGCCTCCGCTCTTCTGGCATCTTTTCCGCAAAACGTACAGAGCCGTCTTTTTACACTTAATTCGGCCAGCCACTTTTCAGTTTTGCCGCCACCCATGACAGGCCCAATAGTTCCT